AACGTGCATCAGATTAAGTTTATTTTTGTTAATAAGATTATTCTTTTGTATGTTATGTTCGATTTTACTTTGATACTATAATTTAACAGAGGCTCCTTAATATATATAATATTTTAGTGCGCTTGGATTTCATATAAGCAGTGGTCTCAAAAAGATTCGGTCAACTGATAAAATAAAATACTATTCTTATATATATTTACAAAAAGAATGGTGTTATCCAAAAATTTCTTCTAAAGCTGATCCTCCATAGGGAGATTACTTATCCAAGTCATTTTCTCTATCTATAAGGAGTCTCGACTGTTAGAGTGCAGACATATTTATTTTTATAATGATATAGTAAGAACTACACAACAATATTTAATAGAAATTCAGTGTGTAATCCACAAACATCAAAACCCATTACTCAACGGTCTCTTCGTTTCTTGGGACCAACATTCTTTTTCTTCGAGACAGAGTCATTAAAAGCAATAAAATAATTTGGAAAATAACTCAATAAATGGATTATACTACAACCAAGATGCTTTCTTCGACAGGTTCAAGAATGTTTCTGAGGTAGGATAGCGTACCTTTATTTATTATAATAATAACTCTCACGAAAGCCTGATGCCACTGTAATAGATTTAGTTCCATTATAGTTCCTCATGTACACTGCACTGTAATTATGTAATTACATCATAAGTCTGACATCAGCATGTAAGTTACAACATTTCAGGCTCAAAATCCCAAATGTGTAGAAATATCAGCTCTGAAGGGCTTGCAGAGTCTCACAGTAACAGAGATCTTTTCTTCGTATCACACAGCTTACCCGATAAGCTCAAAACTGTCTTTCAAAGGGACTCCCATGGTCCTTGCAACGCTCTTCTTCAAAGCAAATAAGTTGAATGATCTGTGTGATCTATTTCAGCATAATGACTGTCTCATAAGTCTACATACTATCTAATTCCAGTCAACCAACATTCTCCATCCACGAAATTGTAGGAATGAAAAATCAATATCAGTTAATAATATTTTACATATCACTAACTCTCTTGAAAAGAATACTTTTACTTTAGTTATAATTATCTGGACATTTTAACTGACATCCCCTGACGTTGTTCAATCATTCATTGTCCTTTCAGTTTTAGCACAAACCCAAGCACAAATTTTTCGGGTACTTTACGTTTGCTATGCACGATACTTGGAATTTACCCGTACTTGGTGAAAATAAACATTACTATTATTATTAGTAATCACAATGAAATGTTGTAGTTTGTTTAAAAAACCTAAAACAAAATGGTATTTCATATTTGGTTACTATTGTCTAATCCGGATAGTAGGACGTCAGCTCTGAAGTACAGAAAGTGAGCCATGTTTTGTTCTGTGCCATTTTCTTCCATTCCACTGACTTGTGCTCACGTCCCTGCTGTCAGCGTCCGCATCGGCCTTGCATTATACAGGCCAAATTAGTGTGCAATGTGACGTACATAAAGTGCATGCGCGACTGGCACCGCCAGTGTATTGCCCCAGTCCCGCCTGAGACTAATACACTTCCTGAAATCGCCCCCCAGACGGAACAATTTGAATGTTTAATAAGTCACGTGGATGCACAGGATTGTATGCCACCGCTATGCATGGCAAAGTGACACTAGGATCCTACTTGCTTAGCTGGATTTGCATCGTGTTTCAAATTTTATATTTTCATATCTAACGGGATTCTCAAGAATCCTACGGATTGTAGGTGGTGGCGTGTTCCAATATAAACATTTACAGTAACGAGTGCCGAAAGTGAATACATCAATTTTTTTAGATGCAATGCCGTATTCTAAGAAACAAGTTTATCTATACAGGATGTTGTTGTCTTTTCTACCACATGACTGCAAACACCTTGTGCAGTTGAGTAGCTGAAATAAGGAGTTGGAATTAAACTGTTTGTAGCATTTTCATTTTGCTAAAATGTATCCTTTCTTCCTATAGGTCGCACATTGTATCGAGTTGTAAATTTTGCATATTTGGTAGTGTATCCGAAGGTCATATGTTAAGAGCAGGTAGCGATTTGCACACACGAGGTGAGCGCGATATTATCTATAATTATTTTGTTTATTCATTCCTTGATTCCAGTAGACTTCTACAAAAGTATTGGACAAGCCACATAAAGGATAGAAATTTAAAAATAAAGTACAATCACTCAAGTAGACTTGTAGGTATCCGATATAGGGTCGACATTGCTTAATATTTAAAAAAATAGACAAACATCGAGGGACTTGAAATACTTACCGACACTATAAAAACATCCTTCCAATAAAAACAGTTTCAGTCAATTTCAAATGTTGTAACATACTTGTGCAGCACTTTATACTGCCTAGAAACGACTTGTAGCGCTTCATTCCCATTTAATAGGTGCTGGGTTCGAAAACATTATGTCTAATACTCCCCACAAAGCTGCCGTTTCTGGTGGGAATCTTGCGAACATCCGTATTTTTTATGTGCTCATTAGTGTTACCCCTGCTACCGTGTACAGGCAACTTCACGCTTGTTGCTGCATTCTGAGGAAAAACCTAAGTAGTGCACTAACATTTGTTGCACTACAATAAAAATTGAACTAGAAGTTGTTTGGGATACGTGGGAAGTATACGTCTACTTGCCGTCATGTTTTTGACTGCCTAACTGTTGGATTCCAAAAGATTATGACGTCACGATTCCATGCGATGCTTTTTTGTTTAGTCTAATAATTACGTCATCGTTAGTTCAACGGGTATATTGATAAACTTTTATTCCTGAAAACTTCCGTAATGTATCGTAAACTGGAGTTGATAAATCGTGTATACAGTACTTAGATAACAAAGGTGTGAAATTAAGACATAAGCCAATTTGATAAATATGTGTCATCCTTTGATCCAACCTCTGACACCACCTGGTATGGGCCAAACAAGTATCTAATAGTACCTGTCGATGTTCGGAACCGAATACTCCCGTATCTATTTGTATATGTTCATGATGACAGCAACGTATAAATGGAATTGCGTCTCCTCCCCAGCAAACAAACCCTGGACTTCGTTATGTAACGTAATACGAAAGCTGGTTGGCTCATCCCGGCGTGACGCGACGATCGCCCTAAATTCTAGTCTAGTCATGCGATTTTCATCCGTCACGATTAAGGACTTTTCCGCCGGTCGTCTGTCGACTTGGGAATGAGATTCATCAATTCGTGAGCTGAGTGGAAGCTAATGAATCGACATCCTCCTCCTTCTCCGTTTTGGAGGAATCGTCGTCCTTGGAATGAGAAGAGCCTCTAGGTATGGATATGCAACTGCTACTGACGCCTTGTGGCACCGGCGGCGACGCGCAGAAGATGCTATCCAACTAAATCGTTATTGCCAAGTGCGCTCCACAGACATTGGAGAAAAGAGTCTAGAGTTCCATGTGTCTGTTGAAATCAACGAATTCGAGTAGATTAGAAGAAGCCAAGCCAAGAAGCCAACATAATGATATTAGATACTGGTGGGTAATAACACTAAGTCCAGATGTTACTAAGCCGGAGCGCAGGAAATCGGACCGAAACGGTTTGTGTAAGATGGGCACCTAATTTCCATTTACGTCATAGACCACTTGGTTTAGCTATGAAAACTTATTTTTTCATTTGCCTCCAAACACTAAATTAACCAATGAAAAGTAAGTTTCTGTGCCATACCCGAAGCCTGGACACAAATCTGATATAATTTCTATATTGATGTGATAGCATCATTGAAGATAACAGTGTCTCACTCCGATGTTTGTTCAAGAATAAGCATTCTGTAATTTGATTTATGTTTTCAAAAGGATTATGGAGCGGAATTTTGTACAGCAACTGAGAGAGAGCGTTTTTTTCATTGAAGTGCTCAAAAATGGCGGAATGTCAATCTATTGTATCAGGTTTGATCCATGTTTTGAGTAGACCACAAACCCTTTTTTTAAACCAAGTGGTTTATAAAGTATTTTATTTTAATATGGTAATTTGAAACCTGTCTTATATAAATCAAATAATTTCTCGTTAGTTTGAGAAACATCTTATAAGAAACCGTCAAAATTTATCAAATCCAATACTTGGCAACTACTAAAATACTGACTTATGTCAACTGCACTTTGATCCTCAGTACAGACTATGATAATTATGAGACAAACAAATCCTTGAGTGCCTCCTTCTACCTAACCTAAATTCGTTGGTTTAAGTTAAATTCTAAATTTCTCTTGCGGTGGTTTGCACAGGTTCGGGTTAAAGTGAGGTTAGCGCTAACTTCGAGTTAGTCTTTGCACCGTCATAGTTATCTCGGAGTTAAGGCCTAACTCTGGGATAAATTTGCCTCTCACTTGAACGAGGTGTTAAGGCAGATAGCACCATGAAAATGTAAGTAATACCTGCGCATCGCAATGCGTACTGACAATAAAAAAGGGGTTAAGACTTAAATGTCAAATGACGTTCTTTTAACGCTTACGGAACCAAATTTGTGACTGCTAAAACCTAAAACTCTCTAATATTGGTTCTTGTAACTGTTTGTTGAGCTGTTTAGATTTCATTCCAGAGGAATAAGGTCATCCTCGTCAAGTTCTTCATTATTTATGGTTACGTCCATAATTACCAGGGTGCTTTGTGGACAATGCTGTCGGCTGTATGATGCGACTTGTCGATCCACAGCGAAAAATATTTTATATATTTGTGATTCTGTTTGGAAGTTGGGAATTTGGAAATATTTTATCCAGCCAAATCAAACACAAACGATAATCGAAAAAATAACATAGAAACAATACAAAACACAAGTACAAAAGTGTCAAAATTTACGTCCATCAAATCCCAGCACAAATCAACAAACTTTTAGTACAGAACTAGCCTTTGTGGCAATATTGCCGATAAATGCATTAATTCTAAGAAATATCCCTATATTCCAAGTTCGCCGACATGACCAAAAGTCGGGGTTTATAAACCCAGAGTTAAGTAACTCTCACCTTTAATCCAAAGCGGTGCAAACCACCGTTGGTCTGGTTAGGGAGCTTCGGTAGCTCAGTGGTCAGCTCGTCGAGCTAGCAGCCCGGTGCTCGCTGGTTCGAATCTCCGCCTCAGAAGTTAACAACTTGTCATGGATGTTGTGTTGTCTCACGCACGTGGATCAGTATTAACAGGTACATCTCATCAGCGGAGCTGTATTACTATATCCGTTACCAGTAGAGGCTTGGTGGAGTAGTACAGTGTTGGTACTATGGGGTCGGCAACAAGGGTCAAAGGTGGCCTAGTTGCTAGGCTTCACCTCCTCACTACTACTACTACTAACTTGATGTGGTCAACACGCGCATCAGTAATCAGACCTTTTCGAGTCTTCTGTGGCTGATGTGAGAAGTTTCTACGCCAGATGATCCTGTAACAATGAAACTGAAATGTTGATGCAGTTAACCTTAGCTAATTGAGCTAGGATCTTTAGTACACGTTTGGTTGCCGATCAGCTATTTATTCGATGATGATTGGTCACAACATGACGTATATGCCCTTCCGTTCACTTGGAAGGCTATTGCTAATGTCAAACTTGTATCCTAGATGTTAACTACATTCTATCGGCTTAATTTAAAGTGAACGCTAAAAAATGCATGATAAATGTAGTCAAAAATCGGAATGCTTTGTTATCGAAGACACGGGCGATTGTCACCAGGGGCTTACCGATATGATGATATCCAAAATTGTGCATGAATGAAGTCTGCAGCATCAATATTCCAATCTAGGTTCTAAAGTGGCAGGTCTGTTGTTACAAGGAAACCCATCCCTGAAACTCTAATCAGGAACATGCAAACTTACCCGCTAATAACTTTTATCAATCTTGCGAAATTGTTACTCTTATACCTTCTCATTTCTAATGGATATAATTACGTTGATATGCAAGTGTTAAGAGGAGCTTAAGGCATATAATGTAGTAAAGCCACTCGGCTTTTAATAACCTACACTCTGCTAAGTTTAGTCGTTCGAAGACGAGCTGTAACGTAAAAGTATCTGCGTTAAAACTTAGCGGTCGTTAGGATATGTGAGCTTCTGATCCGAGCAGCTTAGCAGTTTAGCTCAAGATTTCTGATATTTACTTTCTCACAACTTTCCCTTAGCGTAATCGCCTTTGCGGATTAAAACCCTGTTTCCATGTATACTTGTAATATTAATCTAATAATTATCCAACGTATAATAAAAATATCAATAGAATTTAAAATACGAGTACCCAAAGAACTTTGATCTTGTACTTGAGTTCACATGAGAATCAAAAAATACACCAACGTTGAATAATGCAGGTATTAGAGTGTAGTTGAGTGTATATGGTCGTATATGGTGCATTATATTTTTCTAGGTGTAAGATTCGGTCAAATGGTTCAGACAATTTTTGATACTAAACTAATAGCTCTTAGAATATTTTCCTTAATAATGCGCATGACATGAGTTCAATAATGATTTTTAATATCTATAAGTTTATGGGTCGAGTTCCTTGGTTTATGTATAATCCGTGACTTGACCTCTTATTTAAAACATTCATGTTTTAATAACCTTTCTTGATGCCGGAATAAAGAGTAGAGATCTTTGACCGTTTTTGTAGACTTCCGCACATATACTGAGTTTTGTTGAAACCTTGCTTAATAGATGTGACTGATAGAATTTAGATACATCTTATTTTTAATGTGGTATATTGATCCATTGTAAAGGGATATTTGTCTTACGTCTGAGAATTGAGCTTCTAAGTAAAGATTATCGGTTGGATACGTAATATCCTTAAGAAAGATTAGTTTTAGATAGTTACAAATAGTATTTTAGTATCCCCTGCTTGGTTACATGGTAGCACCGTGACTATTAAATTGTAATCGATACAAAACGAATCGCGATGAAAAGTTAATAGAGAATTTTAGTATTCACAAATACTGCATACCTAAACGGTAAATTTTTTGACATTAGTATATCAATGATTTACTTGAGGTAAATGTCGAATGAGATTAACACTACGTTTACGTATATGGTATACATATTTTATAGCCAAAATTTCCTATCATGACAATTCCACTATAATGCTGGCAAACAGGGTTGACGATACTGCTTGAAAGCATTATTTCAAACAGATTTTTGAAGTTTGATTTCTGATTTGTGATTTGCAGATAGATTGTGTTTTAATGTTAATTATCCTCTAGTTGCAATTTCCATTTTTCAAGAATTATGCTTCGACGGATTATCAATATTTTGCTTTCAAGTATATTCACATTTTTATATAAATGAGAAGTGAAAAAACTTAATCCGCATAGATCAAAAGTAAGGCTTGGTACAAAATCTGTGATGAGATAAGATCACGTAACAAGGTTTAAAAATGCTATTTGGGTTATGGCTATGAGAAAATTCATCCTTTTTCTATGACGTTGATATGAAATTCATGGCCACGCTGTAATGTTGTGCAGAACGAAAAATAAATCATACTGTGTTTTGTCCAAACTTTAACTTTACTTTCGATATTGTTGGGATGAGGATTTTTCCCGATGTCTCATTCCAAACCGTTATTTATGATTTTGGAAAGGATTTTCCGCAGCTCCAGTTTTTGTTCAGAGAACTACATTCCGCTACTTTACTATAACATCCTTCAATTTCGCCTTAACATACGAGCCCCTTCCCACTTCAGTTGGCCCAACTATTGAAATCTTAGTTTTCTTCTTATCAAACACAAATAATAAAAATCTAGCTGGGCGTTATAGGTTTAAAATATTAACAATGAATACTTTGATAATATATAGTAGAAAACACCAACTTTATCACTTCCTAATCAAATATGCAGCATAAAAATAACACATGTTGCAATTACAGCATATCAAAATATTTTCATTTCAATGCAAATTAAGTCTATAACGCATAGGTGGCTGTGAAAAGTAAAAACCATGACAATTGTTTTTATTAATCTCAGCTGTCAGAATCCGTTTAAAATAGTTTTGGATAGTTAAGGTTTTCAAAATGGGTAGAGGAAAGGTTATTAGTGAGAACATTCGGTTACTGATAATTAAATTTTTTAATTCTGGGAAATCAAACTCGGATATTGCTACTTTGTTAGACTTGTCGCGGTACAGTGTGAGAAATATTGTTCGTAACTGGTTCAGTTAATATTAAGCCACGATATGTGAAAAAAAGTAATATCACAAATGCCGACCGAAGAGCATTAAGAAGAATAATCGTGAAACACAGGCGTGCCAATTATTTACAATTAAGTGCTCTGTGGAGTGACGCTGTTGGAAGTAGAATTTCGAGGTCCACAACTCATAGAGAGGCCCACAAACTGGGATTTAGCACTTGCAAGGTAAGTTTTCCTATAAAAAAAAGTGAATTAAAAATCCTAAAGTTGCACAACTTGCTTGTAAACCAAAGAAAAGCCACTATTAACTCCACTGCAAAAGAAAAATCGGCTTAGATGGGCTAACGAACATAGACAATGGACACCTCAACAATGGTGTGAAATACAATGGAGTGACGAGGCCCGATTCGAAGTTTGTGTTGGTGACAGTCGCAGTAGAGTTATTTGCAAAAAAATTGAAGCATTCCGTGTTGACTGTCTGAAGAGAAAAGTGAAATTTCCAGCATCCATTATGGTCTGGGGCAGTATGTTATCAAAGGTAGTAGGAAAACTTCATTTTATTGACGGAAATGTAGATACAAACAAATATTTGGCAATTTTAGAAGAATCGCTTTTACCAGTGATGGAAGAATGTTTGACATCTGGCCAAGATTTTGTGTTTCAGCAAGATGGTGCAGCGTGCCATACCTTAAAAAGAGGCTATAAAATGGATAGAAGAAAATAATGTACCACTTTTGAAATGGGTTTCTAGCAGTCCAGATCTGTCACCTATTGAAACTTTGTGGCACGAGATAAAAAAGGTTCTACGATAACATCCTGCTCGTACAATCATCGAACTGAGACAAAAGCTTCGAGAAATATGGCATTGCTTTACACCAAATTTTTTCCAAAACTTGGTTTACACTATGCCCCAAAGAATTTCAGCCGTAATAAAAAATAAAGGTGATGTTACCCAATTGTAATCTTTCAATTGTTGCTTTGTTAACTTCGCGCATTTATTCGCACATTGTTTATTTGTTCAGATGTTCTATTAGTTATAGGTCTAAGTGATTTCAAATATGTATTTTTTACGACTAAAGTGAATCTAAAATGTTTTTGAGAAAATAAATTGTTTTAAAAGTAAATAGTTTCGTCATGTTTCGTTTATAAAGGCATATTATTGTACAAATCTTGAAGTGGGACAACCGGAAGATGGAAAGGGGCTCGTAGTACCTCAAAAAAACCTCATATCAATAGAATGTTCAGTTACACCATATGCTCACTCCAGTACCCTCCAGTACCTATATTTTGGAAGCATAGTATTTATAAAATGATCTCTTTAAGTAGTCAAATATTGCTTTATTTTTTGGGACGTCATCCATATGCAACTTTGAGACCTTCTTTGTCAATTCACAACAAACAGTAAAACGAAGTATGTCACAGATTTTTACCTACGAAGCAGCGCTCAGTCAATCGAGTATACTGTATACTGACAACATCCTTGAACATACAGCTGGTATAATTTCACATGATACCCCTTGACGTGAATGTGCTAAAATTGTAAGCTTCTACGAGGAGCAACAGTCTATTATATTATATTAACGGCCGTATTCCATCTTTCAAAATACCCGAATTTCTCCAATAAAAAATCCATTATATCTGAATTGATGGACATCATCCTTCCAAGATAGCCTCCTAATCTTGACAAATGAGAACGTGATGAAACCGCAAAAATGTTTTCCAATAAGATATTGAATAATGATACAGGGTAGTTGCCCTTGGAATACGTTTATGTTTGCATGGTTTAGAGTAGCACCATCATTCACCCCATTAGTATCGAGGTTATTATGTTGGACCAGATGAATTCGTCAGAACAAAATTTCGTCAGAATTCGCATCCATAGTAACAGTAGCTTTAGATAAGGTCGCTTTCTTAGAATTGTGCAGCTACAGAGGGTTTTAATGTGCATTTAAGAACGAGTGATGTGTAATCTACTAATAATTTGTAGCAGCAGGGTAGTCA